TTGCAAATCTGCTATATTTTCACATTTAAAGGCAAACCCCGGGATTAGCCCGACTAGTAGGAAGGATACCGCGAGGGAAATTGTAAGGTCCGTACCTACCTAGATCACTCCAGCTTCGTCGCAAAAATTGCGCGGTTAGGGCGCTAATCCTTACGGGCCTGCAACCATCGACCCCGTTGCAACGCTTCCCACCCACCGCGAGAGATGGTGAGATCAGCGTGCTCTCTCAAACGACGTGCTCTCTCGCGTATTTTGTCTTCTTTGATCGCCCTGTCTCGCCATCGTACCACATCCGACCTTATTGAAGGTTAAGGCCTTAATTTCAGCGTTCCCAAAGATTTCTCTTGCTTTCCTTTCCACTTTCAGGTCGTTCCGCAGCTAAGCTATCACTACAAGCGCTGATAGCACCAGTTCAATCCCGGAGTTTGCCTTTGACCAGAGGCGTTATGTGAAAACTTGACGGTGATTATTAGCGCATAAAATTAACACCTTGGAGCCCATGCAGCCCATATGTGGGCTGCAGTCCGTCGACCGCTTAGGACCTTTCAGCCCACATTTCGGAAACAAATATTATTTTTTTTTCATTTTCTTTTCCATTCGCATTCGATAAGGTTTCTTCTGCATCATACAGTAGGTTTTTCTTTCAATTTGCTTGATAAGATTCCTAAAAATTCACTGAAGTCCCACGCGGCCACAAAACGTAAAACATGCGCGGTCTCCAACGTGTTAATGAAGGTACATATCAATAGGGCTGTGGAAAATTCATGAAACTTCCTAGCGAACTCTGCTACGGGCGGGGTTGACGGTTGACCCTAGCGCAAGAAATACCCGGAATTTTCAAAATAATTGTTTTTTTTTCGCCTTGAGTGTCAGGATTTTTTGATAAGTCTACTGTAGTGTAGTTTGAAAAAAGGCAAACTCACATCTTCCTCCTTCGCAGTTGAACTTTTGGCAAACATATTTCCCATCGACTCCCGTATCACATTGCCTTGATTCGTACTTGTCTTTCGAGCCAGAATAGCATCGTTTGGCCGCCTCTGAAAATAACGTCATCGTTGTGTTACACAATGTTTTGAGGGCAGCGTACGTGATAACCCTCAAAACTACAAATGAGCCCAAATACTCTTGAACAACTGCTGGCCTGCACGCCGTGGTAGCCTGTGAATACCTCCGCGTCTCCGTTACGGGGTTTTACGCGATTTTGATGCTTTTCTTTTCTCATGAGGCTGTTACGTACAACTTGAAATGCGAACTTGACCAGGTTTTTTATTACTATATTATCTGTTTTTATT